ACACAGAGAGGGTGTGCTTAGCAGCAAGGTAAATATTGGCATGCTGTACATGGGCAACGAATATAAATAAGTCAGGGTATCCTTAGAAAAGTTCATCTCTGGATCCACCATTTTTCTTAGCAATAGGTAAGAAAAGAGGAAATCATGAGTTTGCCAGTTTTTTCCCAAATTAAAAAAAAATATTTTTGTAATAGTGTAAAAGCTGGAAAGTATTTGAGACTCAACAAATGCTGAATAAATAATTTTGCTAATAAATATATGCCCTCATTTCTACAGACCTTGATTATTGGATTGGATTACTGAACTTTCTCCTCTTGACTAATTCCCAGGATCATCCCTGGTAACCCTGTCCATCGGTGTTTATTTGGAGTCAGTCAAATAAACCAGCTGTCTACACCCCAAGGCCTTATGTCTGGACTGCAATACATTTCATTAGTCCTCATGGGCTGGGGACACTTTCAGATCTTTCAACACCTGGTAGACCAGGCTCATCCTTAATCTCTTTATGAAGCTTTTCTTGACATTCCCATAATTGCCACTTGATCCTGAACAAATGTGATCCCACACGTACGTTCAACACTGACACCACTGGCCTCTCCTGCAAAGTTCCTGCTCACACCCTGTGCCTACTCTGAGGCCACAACTAATGCTTCATTGCTGCGCAATTGTCCCCTTGTGATTTCTCAAGCCACGTCCCAAAGTATGTTGAATAATGTAGATTTTACTGAAATGTTCACAAGGAAGAAGAGTAGAGGGTTTACATTGAACACCATATGGCCACATAATGAGGATTTCATAAAAATCCTCATCACAAATCTCCATCATTCCAAAAGACTTTTCTCCCATCGCCAGCTGCCTTATCTCCTCTGTGTCCTGCATCCTCCCTTTCCTAAGGCTTCCTCCTACCCTGGGGTTCCTCACTATCACCCCAATCTCAATGAGCAATTTAGCCCTTTCAACCCTTTCTTCTTAACATGCATCCTTGAAGTTTTAGGTTCCATTCATCAAACAAAATATCTCTGAGGCAAGGGTGAAAAACCAAGCACATTTCTTTCCCTTCCACTAAAGACTGGAGCAACCTGAGGGTGGGAATCAAACCTTACATATTTTTTGCATTTCCTATGCAAGATATACGGGTGGGCAAAAGTAGGTTTATAGTTATTCCTATGGAAGAGACAAGCGGGTTATGATTATTACAATAGCTTATTACAATAGCTCAGAAAGTCACAACGGCACTGTAAACCTACTTTTGCCCAACCCTGTATTTATAAAGTGAAAGAACTAAATGAAAGAATATAGGCACAGATTAGAATCTTAAAGTCCCACTCTCATCGTGGTTTTCTCCTGTTGAAAGATCTTCTATACCTTTCCAATGAATGCTTCAGCCAACTGGCATTTCTCTGACTCTAGCACCCTGGCTAGCTATGATGGGCTCTCCCCGCTCAAGTCAACTGTACATGGTCTTGCCTGCAGGTGTCCATTCGGGTTGTCTCTGCAGGCCTGAAAGAACCTATGTCATTCACGACAGTGATTGGTGGTATGTTACCATCACCCAACTGAAGGTCAAGATGGATGCAACTAGTCTGGTCTTGTAGGCCCACCCAAGTCCTTCCTACTCTTTGAGGCTCAGTGCAGGTCTTCTCATCCTCAGGATACTTCAGTGAGGCCTCCAGTCCAGGCAGATATTTCTGGAGTCCTTAGGACATAAGCCTGAATGCATCCATTCTGATGGCACTTAATCTTTTAGTCCTATATTCTTTGGAATTCAGGGTATAAGGCTTTGAGGTCATTTCATCTTCCCCAAATGTGGTCATTCATAGGTCTATTTACCAGACTTTTAAGATTTTTTTCATTACCGGACTCGTGGTAGGTCTGTACTTATCTAATCCCTTGAAGTTATATGTGACTATTTAATTTACTTTGCCCAGTGAAATGTGAACAGAACTGACATGAGCCCCTTTAAGGAAGAAGCTTTCAGAGAAAGAAATGGAAAGAGCTGGTGAGTGACTGATCATGCTGTCTCTCCCCCTGCCATGGGGACAGGCAGTGTTGAGATGGACTGTCCATCAGTCTGGGTCCCAGAGTGAAGACCCAGCTGACTTACAATGGTTAAGTCATGTGAAGAAGTAAACCTTTGTTGTGATAATGCCATTTAGGTTCAGAGGTCATCTGAATAATAACAGAATTGAGTGACGAGTAACTGTGTGTAATTGTGTTACTGAACAAGAGGTCCGAGGGAGGGGCAATACAATATTTGGCCCACCTAGGGATGCCAAAAACTGCTATACAACAGGGGCCCCTCCCAAGGACAAAATACTAATATCTACTGGGCTCTTCTGTCCGCCGCCAATTGGAAGGACATCTCTCAATGCCAGAGATTTGTGAAAAGGAAACAAAATGTTTATTTAATGCTATTCAGGCTTAACGCCTCCACTAAAATATCAGAGTCCTTTAGGGTATACTCCTATACCCACACAGCTCCCTTCTCCCACTGTCCCAACTCCGGGTACCGTAAATCAGGAAAAGAGCACACGTCTGTGTTGCAGGCCGCTGGCACCGTCAGCTGTGTCACCATGCAGGCAGGATCTCTCTCTCTAGTTAATCCAAAGTACTGTGGTAGCCTCTCATGGTCCACTGGCAAGAGTTCTTTGTACCCAGTTCCAGTCAAAGTCTCTCTTGCCTTCCAGGCCACTTGGCCAAAGGGGGCACCCCAAAGCCGTGTGGGCCTCTTCTACCAAAGCTGCAGGAGTCCGCTCTCCACCAAAAGCATGTGGCTTTCTTCTTCACCTGGCTGCAGGGATCTCCATTCTGGCAAAGCTGCGTGGTTTTCCCTTTCACCTGGGCAGTTATCCCCTCATGTCCCGGAGCCCATCTTTTCCAAGCTCTCACACTGGTGCTCCCCACTCAGGAGTGCAGCCCCTAGTTCCCTTCTGAGTCCCAAGCTACTACCTTCTTCCTGGCTCCAAATTTGGCCACTGCTATTTAACATATCTATGAAACCAGTTAAGAGTTATAGATATGTTAAATAATCATTCCAGAGGTTAGCTGCAAAACTGTTGCTATGCAAAACAGCTCTCAATGGCCCTGCTCCATTCGTCCCTTAGCCCTTGTTGGGGGGGGTGGCGAGGACATCTTATATGTCTCTCCAATATTCCTATACACTTTGAATTCTGCATACCATTCCAAATCTTTTTTTGGGGGGGCCCCCCCCTGGCTGCACCCTGTATCAATTGCAGCACAACCTGTCCTTTCCAGATGGATGGTAGGCTCCTTGGGGGCAGCACTCGAACACAACTCACCTTTCTGTCCCCCAGGGAACATAGAACAGCGGACCCTCAAGCTGGACCCTCAAGCTGGATAAACCTGGGTTCAAGTGCAAGCTCTGTCTGCCATGTATTTGGGTGCAGGACTTCCGGCCAGTTATTTAAGCTCTCTGCGGCTGGAATAATATCGGTACCTACTACACAGGATTACTGTTGGGATTAAATGAGAAAATGTATGTAAAGCACCAGCACACACTAAATGGTCAGTCAACACCATTCTCTTAGACTTTCTTCCCATCAGTCCTGTGGGTTTGTAGGAACCCTTGTGTAATTCTCTGGGAACTACTTCTCTTCATTTACTTCCTCTGAGCCCTTGGTTACGTGCCTAGTTCCTGGATTTATTTCTATTTAGCTTGGTCTACCTCAGGTCCTTAGGGTTTTGCTTTTCCTGCTACATGCACACTCTGCCCTTCTGAGAAAGTCCCCCTGCAAATGGCTGGATTAGTAGTAGCCCCTGGCAAAGCTGGTCCAGTTGGGGGAGGAGGCATGCTTTTGAGATGGTGGTCTGCTGCTAAAATTTTAAACAATGAGGTAGGTGTAGTCAGGGAAGTGATTACTCTAGGGAAGAAAAAAATTTAAGATGTCATGGTTACCAGTTCTGAGGAAGCCCCGCCTTGGCGTGGGGCCTGGCTCCCATAGCAGGCGATCCCTCTGTGAATCCTGTGATTGTATCAGTGAGGGTAGCAGGGAAGTTAAGTAGAAGTTGAGACAAGAGCAGTTTAGACAGCAAGATAAATCTTCAAAGACTGACTACACAGGCTGAGGCTTGGTGTGTTGCCGGAGGGCTTGTGTTTTTTTTTGGACTCCTGGTCCAGGGAGGCTTGTGTTCACAGATTTACGTATTGTCCCTGAGCCCTTGGGGCCACCCCGCCCCCTCCGGGGAGCCGCAGCAGCCGTGTTGCGGCCTGTCCGGCCACCCCAAAGGTACTTGTGTAACTTGTTTTTCAAAGTCCTGGCAGGAGCTCCAGTCCTGAGGTGAGAAGGGGTGTTTCCATTCTGCAAGAGCAGCCCCAGAAAAGCCTTGCATCAGGGCCGTTCCCGATCAATCCCTGCTCCCCGGCACCTTCTTTCTCTGTGGGATGGCTTGTAGCAGCCACAGAGGTGATGCACCGGTCAAGCCCCGGGCCTCTGCCACTGCCTTCTGTTCCCTGCCCTCCCTGGAAAGGTGAGGAAGCTTCTTCAAGACAAAGCTTTTGTTGCCCTAGTGCCTGGTGCTGTGCTTTGCATGGAGCCCAGTGCCAAGTGCAGATGCTCAATAGATATTCATTGTCAATAAATTGTAAAAATATGTGGGCAAGAACACATCTGAGAGGGCACGCTGGAAGACATTCTTAACTGACACCCCAGTTAACAGCTTTCTCTGAATAGTACTTACATTCATAAGAACAATGATTATTATTTGTTAAAGATATACCTAGTCTATGATAAGCAAAGGCACACATTATTTCCTTAAATCCCACAAGAGTCAATAGTTCTACAAAATAGGTATTTCCCCAGTTAATAGCTGAGGGCTTGGAGGCACAAAGTCTGAGGATCTCACCTGAGGCCACACGGGACAACTGGGATTCAAAGCTCTTTGCATAACTGAAGGCCCGGCTCCTCCACTTCCCCTTTCTCCACACAACACCCCCCTCCCCCGCCCTCGCGCCCCACCCCCCATCCTGGAACAGCAGCAGGAAAGGGTGACTTTAAAGGAGACGCTGAGCGCCAATTCCACTCCCCTGCTGCAGGTACTTATGCATTCTTTTGGTCATTTCTTCCTCTGGCAAATAGCTTTGAATTCAGCCTGGAGAGCACACTGGGGAAGCAACCCCCACTCCCCACGATGTGGGCTTTGTCGTACCTAAGAACACCCACCCGTGTCCGAGGCCTTCTTGTACCTCAGTCTCAAACGGCCCCTCCTCTCCCACCTTCCAGTGTGGCCACACACAGCTTCCCTTTTTCCATTCCCTTCTGACTGGCTTCAAGGCCGGGTTTTCACTTCACTAGAGAAACCTTGCTACAGGTATTATTCTATGGACATTCCCTGCCACAAAATATGCACCCAGTAAATATTTATTGAATCGTATGCTAAATTCTAGACAAAAGAAGAAAGAGCCAGGGATCCAGAAGAAACCCGAAAAGCTTAGGGGGTGGGGGAGGGAAGTGCAACAATGGACTTGTCTCTCTTTTCCTTCCCTGCCTCCCTCCCTTCTAAGGGAAGCAGAGGCTTATTCAGCGTCAATGCTGTTATTTGGTTACAGTTGCATCCAAATAGATGGAACGACGCCAATCAACGCCAGGGTACAAGTGCATACGCAGGGGGTTGTTTTCTTGGACATGCTTCACTTGTAATTACTCTCCAAAGAGAAATACCCACACAACTTCCTGGACCCTCCGGGGAGAAATAACAATCGGACAAGTCATTTCTGTGGCCTTTTGCCTGCGTGTGTGCGCGTGTCGCATGCGCACATGGCTGGACCTTCAGTGCCTGTCCTGTCTATAGGGCGCCTTTCACCACCCATCTGTTCAAATGCCTGGGCCGTGGGTTGGCCGCGCAGTGCCTGCCACCACCGCCCGCAGCAGCGGCGGCAGCAGCGGCAGCCGCCACGGGAGCAGCCGCTGCTGAGATCATGCTGTTGATTTCGTTTCAGACAGCAGCCCAGTCTGTTGTGCAGAGTACAGAATGTTCTCTTCTGTGAACTGAGCTTGAACTTTTCCAACCCACTTTGTTTGAGGAACTATACAGACACAGAGGAGAAAACACAGGGAAGATAACCCTCAAATCGTTGAAATAGAGTTGTTCTCTCTGATTTTGGCCCAGGTCATTTGCTTTTTACTGCTTGAAATTTAAAATCCCATGCATTACAGTTCTCGGAAGAACAGAGTGGCTGTGATGTCCTTTTTCTAAGTCTGGACTTGGAAATGAACAAGTCTGTCACCACCTTTCCCCAGATTTTTCGTTCCCTTTGGGCATTCAAAGAACAATGACAACAAAGCTGTTTTCCTGCAAGGGAAAAGAAAGGGCCCCCAGTGCCTGTGACTCCTCTCTCACTTGTTCAGGCTATCATGATATTACAAATAGCGTCCCCTAATTCGCTCTATGATCCAAGATAATTAATACCAAGGCTATTGGATCCTTGTGTTACAGAACAGAGGTCCAAGGGGGGGGGGGGTATTTGGCCCACCCAGGGATGCCAAGAACTGTTACAGAACAACAGGGCACCCCACCCCTAAGCATAGTACACTAATACCATCTGGACCACCTACTGGGCTTGTCTGTCCACTGCCAGAGGAAAGACATCTCTCAATGCCAGAGATTTGTGAAAAGGAAAGGTTTATTTAAAGCTATACAGACCTTAAGTAGTGACCCAATGTCCCCCATTAAAATAGCAAAGTCCTTTAGGATAAAGGAGATGCCCACAGTCCTTCCTTCTCTCCCTGCCTTAGTTCGGGGTACCGTATCTCAGGAAAAGAAGCACAAGTCCGTGTTTCAGGCCACTGGCACCATCTGGTAAGTCGCCATCCAGGCAGGATCTCTAAGTACTCCAAAGCCATGTGGCACCTTCTCATGCTCTACTGGCAAAGAGTTCTTTCACCCTTCTTCCAGGCAAAGTCTCTTCTTTCGTTTACCAGAGCTGCGGAGAGGGTAGGGTCGTCACTCTGGCAAAGCCCAGTGGCAATTCTCTGCTACAGCTGCATGGTGATTCTCTCAACCCCCAGCTGCGGGAGTCCCCACTCTGGCAAAGCCTCGTAGTACTCCTCTTCACCTGGCTAAGAAGGGGCTCTCACTCTGCCAAAACCATGTGGTTCCCCCTCAATGGCTGCTGTGTCTGGGTTTAAATCCCCGCACCAATCTTCCTCTGTACCCCTATTTCCGACTCCTTCCACGATCAGTTACACCTGCCAGCATTCCTGTATTATTCCAAGTTTACTGAGCTGCCATTGTGAGTCTGGGCAGGTATGGCCCGATGTCCCGGAGCCAATCTTCTCCAAGCTCCCACACAGGTGGTGTAACTCAGGGGACCTGCCCCCCAGTTACATCTTGGGGGGAAGTGACTTTCATCCCCCTGGCTCCAAGCCTGACCACAGCCATTTAACATATCCAAGTGACCTGCCAAAGGCTATAGATATGTTAAATGGCATGCCATGGATTAGCTGTAAGGCTGTGGCTGTACAAAACAGCCCTGCATGTTCCTGTTCCATGTGTCCCTGCCCCCAACTCGCCCCTGTGGGGGAGGGGTGAGGACATCTTATATGTCTCTCCAATAATTCCTATACACCTTGAGTTCTGGACACCATTCCAAATCCCTTTTTGGGGGGCCCCCTTCTTGGCTACACCCTGTATCACTTGGCTGCCATATAAGTCAGAAACTTGAGAACCTGCCGATGCTTAGTAAGGTGGTTTGAAATTTCTCTTCTAAAACAATCTTTACCTAGTTTTACGGCTGAGTCTCCAGTTCGGGGGAACACATGAGTGGTTTAGGGGTGTGCTTGGAGGATCTAAGGGTGAGGCCTCTATAGGTTAAGCAGTGGAAGTTTTCCAACTTAGTATTTTTAATAGCAGTGAAGTCTTTTCTTTATACTAAAAATTAGCAAAAACCCACTGGGGAAGCAGAAGAGCAGAACTTTGCATGAGCCCTGGGCTCTAGACTCTTACTTGGGGGAGCACATATGGTATGGGGCAAGTCCTGTCTTCTAAAGCTCTTCGGTGAAAGGGGCATGAAGCTTGCATGCCTACAGAGGCATTTGTAAGTGCTGAGTGCCATACTGCAGTGCCAATGAAAGAGACTCTTCTCTTGAATTCATAGCTCCAGCAGCTACCTCCTAGTTTTAGGGGGGTGATATCTTGTAGGTCTTGCTCACTACTGGCAAATGGGAGATTCCTACAAGAGTGTCTTTACTTCTGAGATGATTCCAGTTCCTGGACATGCCCTATGACCTTTTCTTTCCAAGTCAACATGTCATCAGGATATTGGTTAATTAGTTCATTTATTCTATAAACTTCTATTGAATACTTACTATATTTACATTATTGGATCTAGGGACCAGGAGAAGAATAAGATATGTTCACTGCTTTCAAAGAGTTTACATATTTCCCAGTGGGAGGAGCAGAGATAAACACACACACACACACATACACACATGCACATATGCATGTTCACACATATACACGTATAATACATTTATACATATATAATATTTATAATACAAAGGAGGGTGATGCATGTTTAATGAAGGTACAAGTAATAAACTGTGAAAGCAGAGGATTACAGGAACAAGATGAGGATTCTACAAGGTAGAAGTTGAGACAAGGGCAGTTTAGACAGCAAGATAGAGAAATCATGAAAATAGGTAAACTTTGTGGTTAATAAAATTGTGTATGGGTAATGAATAGTTCTTGTGACCGAGCAGCTGATGCGAGAGTGTGTAAGAAGAAGCAAAAAAGAAATTGAGCCTAGATCAGGGGTGTCTGTGTCCCCCCTTGGTGCCCACCATTAACCTTTCTTGCGAATTTTGTATGAAGCCTCAAAATCCTTCTCAAAACAACTCCCAGAAATGCTACCACTGATCAATCAGCTTGGGTTGGCAGCTGAGATAAAACCATTTATCATTCCTGGCTTGGGCCTTAAATCCCATGCTTAGACACTTGTATTTTATTGGGTTGTTCTTGGGGAATTATTGCATGTTTTTAAGAAACACAATGATATGAGTGAGTGACATGATTCAACCTGTGTTTTTGTGAGTTAGCTGATGGCCATGGGAAGGATCCATGAGACAAGTGAGAGACTGACTGACTTCAAACAGACTGAAGACATAGGGATCAGTAAGAAGACTACGGACTACACAAATCGTCTGAACCATGGGAGTGGGAGGGCAGAGTAGGTTGGATGGACGGAACACTGGGGAGGCAGAAATGGTGGGGCTTGGTGACGATAGAGGGAGAAAGAAGACTTGAGGATTACTGAGCTTTCTCATCGGGGTTATAGAGAAGAGAGAGGACTGCTATAGTCTGCGTGCATCCTCTCAAAATTCGTATATTGAAATCCTAACCACCAAAGATAATGGTAGTAGGAGATGGGACCTTTGGGAGGTACTTAAGTCACAGGGTGAACCCCTCATGGATGAGGTTAGTGCCTTATAAAAGAGGCTCCAGAGAGATGCCACGTGAGGCTGGAAGAGGGCCTTCCCCAAACCATGCCCCTGCCATGATCTTGCACTTCCAGGGTCCAGAATAGTGAAAAATATTTTGTATTGTTTATAAACTACTTAATCTGTGATATTTTCTGATAGCAGCTTGAATGGACTAAGACAGGGGCCAAGAGAGGAAACACAGGGAAAAGGACTTTGTGCCTTTCTTTTAATAAAGGGAAGATGATGAGTTGAGTTTTAGTCAGATTGACCTTGATGGGTCAATAGGACATTTATGGAGAGAATTCCGGCCATCATATGCAAATACATATTTGGAGTTAATAGCTAAAGAAATGATTAAGTATTTAGCCACATGATGGAACCAATAAAAGCTTTGGGAGTACATGTCATCACCTAGAAAGGGAGCTATGCGTGTCATTTATAGGTCTTTGGAAAAAAAGAGGGCCAGTTTAGATCTTGAGGGGTGCTTACATGAGTGAACACCAGAGGAAGAGCACCCCAGAAATTATATAAATCCCTAATAATATGGGGCTCCATTAGTTAAACCTAGTCGTCCCCTTCTGAGTCTGACTCTTTAGTACAGACCATGACTTGCCTGAGGGTACCCTGTGTGGTGTCTGTGAGAAGTAAGGAGCATAGGTAACGTCCCCCTGTGTGTCCCCTAAGGCACTGTTTCTCACACTTTTCTGATGGTTGACCACGAGCCATGGTGAAATACATTTTACATATACATATATAACTACTATTAGTCACTAAAACAGAAGATTTTATGAAACAACATCTACCTGTATCTTCCGCAATTAATGCTATTTTCCATTTTGTTTTATTTGATTTAAAAATGCTATTTGGGTCCCAGTCAGCTGATCTCACAACCACTAATATGTGGCTCCCTGCAGTGAAAGACACTAAGGGGCTGTGGTTTCTGGAGGTCCATTCTCCTTGTGGTTGGCATCTTTCATGGGAGAACAGAGTTCGTTAGTGTCTTCCCAGACTAAGGACCAGTGGAGAACTGCTGAACTCTGTCTCCAAAGCCTTTTCTTCCATACAGGGATTTTTAGCTTTGGGAGGAGGCAGAAGGGAGTTCCACCAGCAGGGTCGCTTATGTTGGTCCTAGATGCTAATAATACTTAATACCAACAACAACAAGAACAACAGCAGCATTACTGAATCAGGCACTTTGCGCACATTATTAGCATAATTAAATTCTTACAATAAGCCTCCGAGGGAAGTGTGATTATTCCCTCCATTTTACAGATGAGAAATGCTGAAGCCAAGAGCGATAACTTGCCCATGATCATCCAGTCAGTAAATGGTGAAGCTGAGATTCAATGTCAACGTGCAGAGTAGGGACAATAAGCTGTACCTTCTTTGGTCTCCCTGGGCCTCTGTGTTGTCCCCACCGGTCCCTCGTGTGTCTCTTAGCAAGGCTTGGTCTTTTCTTATGGTACTCTTTCTTCCTTTTCTCTGGGATCCTCTGTGCATTTAAAAAAAGTTGCTTAACTATAGTGAAATATGTGACATGCATTCAGGAAGTGGAGGCAGGAAAAGAAGCAGGAGAGAGAAAGAATGAGGAAGGGGGCAGGACAGGTTGATGGGTAGGCTTTTGAGACCAGGTTGAAAAATGCTGTCTGAAGGGCCTCATCCCCTTTACCTGGCAACAGCGTCTGGACTAACTCCCCGCTTCCGTCTTCATCCCGGCAACCCGTCCACCCTCCACATCTCCACCAGGCTTATCCTTCCAAAGCAGCACTGTCATCGCCACTCTCCGACTTCAGGCTGCCAGCTCATCCTGTCCCAAACTGAACTCTTCCTCTCCCCCTTCAGTGCCAACTCACCCTTTCCACTCCTCTCCGTGTCTGCTCCTCAGATGGCCATCCCACACTCAACACTGGCCCCAACCTATCTTTCCCACGCCTTTCCCACTTTCCCCACATGGAGCTTCAGCGGGCAACTTTTCTCTCCATCCCTGATCTACATGCCTGTGCCCAGGTTGTGTCTATGCCTGCAGTGTACCCCTTCTGCTCCCCTTCTATGCCTACCCATCCTTCAAGAGCCTGTTCAGCACTTGCTTCTGTTCTTACGGCTCCCCCTGACCTCTTTTACCTTTGCATCTTTGCTTTTGTACCATGCATTTAGGAATATCACTAAATACTGTAGAATATTGAAGTGGTCCATGCTAACCCTTAACCAGATTCATTCCTTTTCAAACTATTTATCAAATTGCCTGTTCAGTTTCAGACACAGAAAATTTAAGGACACTGAGCATAAGAAGACGTGTCATGGTTTCAGGATCCACAAATAGGCCCAGCACAATCAGTGTAGGAGAGCTGTTGGTTTTGACACTCAACTTCCATTCACCTTTGAGAAAAATATTTCGGTTTTCTCTTGGGCATTCCCCAAAGTCTTAGCCCATGTTGTATGAGCATGATGACCGCCCCTCGAGCGAGGACTGGGCATGTGACAGAGGCCTGGCCACTGAGAGAACTGCCTTGGTTCACAGATGGGTATGTGAGTCTAGTTAGGCCAGTGGAAGTCAGCCCCGAGTTCTTATTAGAACCCAGGAGGCTAAGTGGTAAAAAGTGAGCCAGGAGCTGCTGGCAGTTATTATTGCCACCCCTTGGAGAAGGCCTGTCTGCCGATAAAGCCAATGTGGAGGAAATCAGAGTTGAGGGGCGGAAAGCAACTGATTCTGTAGAACATCTTTTAAGCGCTTAGATCCAGCCATGACTGCGCCTTGAAGTCAATAAATTCTTTTTTGGTTTAGGTTGATTTCTGTTGAGATTCTGTAGCTAAAAGAGTTCTGTTGCAGTGGTTCCTTCTAAATCCATGATTCTTGCAAGTGAATAACATGATTCTCTGCCAGTGAATAACAACACCTCCAAGGACAGCTTGCTGGCTGCTGACCTGAAACTGTTTTCCTAACTGGCCCAGGCTGATTCCCATCCCACACCAGGCTGGGGAGAAGGTCAGGTTAGAGTCAGCCAGTGGGTCTAACATGACTCTGGTCATACACAAACACTGACTTTTTTCCTGCATCAAGTCTTTCCCACAGTGCCCTGCTTGGTGCTGATAGCCTCCAACTGTTCATTGTAAATCTGGAGCTTCTGGGCTGGCTTCCGTTGGCTGCTTTACGCAAATAGTTGGTTTTGCCTCTCTGCCAATGACAGAGATGATCCTCTATCATTCAATATACTGGGCATATCTCAGAATGAGATAGGCTCTTCATATTGAACAAGAGTTACCGTAATGTGTTTATAAATCTAAAGGGGGCTCATCAGTTGCTGGTGGTAATAAGGTGACTACACAGAAAGGAAAACTTAGAGTAGCTTTCACTGAATAACGGGTATATTTCATAAGTACCAACTAGAAATTATAGACCAAACCTTTTTAGTCATCTTGCACAGCTCTGAGCCAGTAGCTGCTTAAAATAAATACTTCTGGTGATTCACAATGCTTTTCACCCTCGACATTATTTAGAGCTATAATTGAACAAATAGAGAACAATACAGTAATCATTCCCACCTCTGCATTAAGGAATGGTCAAGTATTCCTGAGCTAGTGGTAGGAATGTTTTTTTTCTTCCAAAGTTTAGCTTCTGATTCTTGGAATGTCAGTCCCCAAAATCAGAGGATGGGGGAACATTTGAAAATGATTTTACCAGAACAGCTTATGCCTTGAACTAAACCACTGCTTTACCTTAAATGTCCCCAGGCTGCCTGAGCTGACTTCCTGCGCCTACATTTAGTCTCTGGAGAAGGTCACACATGTGCACACCCTTGGCTCAGCCCCACGCCGGAGATTCTCCAGCAGAAGGTGTCCCTCTTTGCTTAAGTGCTTCTGCCTGGTGAATATTGGGAACGTTTGGGGTGTCCTCTCTGGCCCCTATTAGCTAAATTCCTCTGTAGTAAAATATAATAAAATAATTTCAGCGACCTTCTGCTAAAGAGCCCTATAAACAGCTCCTGTTAGAGGCACTTTGAGAGGTAAGACTAGCCAGCCACTGGTCTGCATGTGAGATGGGTGGGTAATGAGAGATCTTATAAGAGAATAGATTTAATTAGAACTTGTCAGTAATACAGTCAGCTAGTCCCTATTATTATTCTCTGAGACAGAACAACACCTCCCCCCAAAGATCTGGTAACAGTTTTACTTTTCTTATAGTCAGGAGTTGGGAAGTGTCTAACCCACCTCCTTCCCCTCACCGAGGTTGGGTAGCCAGTGGTTTCAGGGCAGTGGTTCTCCACAAAAGTGGTTCTCAGTCTTGGGGGCACGTTAGAATCACCCGGGGATCTTAAAACTGTTGGTGCCTGCCCTGGCTGGTGTAGCTCAGTGGATTGAGCGTGGGCCTGTGAAGCAAAGGGTTGCCGGTTCTATTCCCAGTCAGGGCACATACCTGGGTTGCAGGCCAGGTCTCCAGTGGGGGACACACGAGAGGCGACCACACATTGATGTTTCTCTCCCTCTCTATCTCCTTCCTGTCCCCTCTCTCTAAAAATTAATAAATAAAATTAAAAACAAAAAACAACAAAACAAACCTGTTAGTGCCTGGAGTCCACCCCCAGAGACTCTAAATTATGAGGGTGGGGTTGCACCTTCACATCAGGATTTTCCTGGGTATTTATAATATGCTATTGTATAATCTGAGCAGGTCCGGGGGGGGGGGGGGGGGAGGCTAAATCCAGGCTGTTTGAACAGTTTATCATTGCCTGGAATTTACTTTCTGCTGTATGTCGCACAATATGACTTCATAATGAAGAAATTAGGAAAAATCCTTTGTTTGCTTTTTATTGTGAGTGGGACTGCTCGTTGCACAGGATGGCTGTGAAGCCTAAGTGAGATTGTGTAGCAGGGGTGCTGGGGATCCCCGAGTGCTTTGTAAACCAGGAGTTGCAGCCTCACACACCTGCTTGGGAGTGGGGATGGGCTCTGGCAACACACGAGGGAGGAGAAGAGAGGGCAGGGTCGAGGGTAAAAAGGAGGAGCAGGCGGGGGTGAGCCAGGAGTTCTAGCTCAAGGTGGTAACACTGACCCAGGTCTGGCTGATTGTTGCCAAATGAATCTGCCCCTAACGTTACCAGAACTTTTTTTTTTTTTTTAAAGAAGACATATGTTCGGATTTGTATGCAGAATTTCTCAGTTTTAAGAACACCAAGTGCCAAAACATGTATTTGAGAACTAGACCCATGGATTGTGATTTTGTGAACTCTAAAACTGTACAGAAGCAGGAACCTGTTTAAAATCAATTTTTTTTTTTTAAAGTAAATGTCTTGCCTTGGCTGGTGTAGCTCAGTGGATTGAGCGTGGGCCTGCAAACTAAAGGATTGTGGTTAGATTCCCAGTCAGGGCACATGCCTGGGTTGCAGGTGAGTTCCCAGCAGGGGACGCACAAGAGGCAACCATACATTGATATTTCTCTCCCTCTCTCCTTCCCTTCCCCTCTAAAGATAAACAAATAATGATTTTAAAAAAAGTAAATGCCTCCATTTCCAAACTCATATTCCCATTGTCTTATGGATTGACTCCCTTCTCTACAGGGGGAGAAGTCCTTCTCTGCTTTGCTAGAAGAAGAGGAGTTCTTTATCCCTGGGGACACTGAAGAACACATTAGTTAAGTTTTTTACAGTTTCCTGTTTTAAGGAGTTGTCATGCCTGGTGGAGAAGATGACCTGGGGAGGAGTTCTGAGCTGGAAGGGATCTTACCTGCTGTGTTATGTGGTTTCCTTTGCCAGACTCTGGCAAGCCTTTGTACCAAGCTGGCAGGGTCAGGCAGGGTCCATGGGGTCGGTCTGGAGGCAGAAGGGAAAAGGGGGTGTCACAAAGGGACGCTGGTACAGTACTGACAGAGCTCCTGGTGCACAACTGTCCTGTGTATGCACAGAGGGTGGTATCAAGAGATGCACAAAGTGGGTGGTATTTAAGGTAGGCTGTAAGAGGGAACTGAGAAGAGACTAATTTCTTTTTTAATCTTCACACGACATTTTTCTTTAATTGCTTTTTAGAGAGAGATGAAGGAAGAGAGGGAAACATCGATGGGAGAGAGAAGCATCAGTCGGTTGCCTCCCATACTCTCCTGGACCAGGGATCGAACAGGACGATGCTCCAACCAAGCCACACCAGCCAGTGCAAAAGAGACTAAAATTTTGTCATGCGGAAAGGAGGTGCTGAGAGTCAGAACTAAGTAAGATTGATGTATCCTCACGCTTTTTGAAACTGCTAGATTTTGACATGAAGGTTTGGCCGTGGAACCAGTGGATATACTGCCGTTCTGCTCCCTCATTCTTATGACTTTAAAGCACGTCAAGGAAGAACAAATATAAGAGGGAAGAGAGAAGACTGTTGTTTGGACATAAATGTCCTTAACAGAGTCCAGGAGTGATAGGGAAGCTATTAAAACATACAATGATAAATTGATTTATGCTGAACCGAGCTGCACCAAGTTAAACTTATTTTCCCACACTTTCTTTGAAGGTCTCTTTAGTTCCATATTTATTGTATAAGACAGCTCGTAATGCCCTCTCAAGTGTGGAGAAACAGCAGAATTCCTCAGCCAGAAGAAAACAAAGAAACACCAAAAGGTTGTAAAAGCAACTTCTTCAAGCTTAAGACATCATATCATAGAAAACAGAGGAGAGAACTGTGGTAAATTCCTTTGTAAAGCAACTGTAGTATGTGTAGTCCCACCTAAGTTTATGTGTTTTGTGGATCTGATTTTGGGTTTTCTTAAAGTAGGACATACCCGTGCCCTATCAGGACCTCTCCCTAAGAGTGAAGCAACCTTGAAATGAATCAACATGAGCAATTACTACCATCAGTAATTCTCCCTCTCATACCATGCTATCTATATGGGTTTCCTATTTGGTATTAAGAGCTGAATGGAGGACTTCCGCCAAGATGGAGGTTTAGGTGGATGTGCCGTGCCTCTTCACACAACCAAGTTTAGGGACAACTAAATATTAGCATCAGAAAACACAACCAGAACACGGAAAACTGAACTTTTCGGAAGTCCGCTAACAACAAATTCTTCAGCCCGACCGGTAAGGGGCGAAACCGGCGTTGGGTGAGGAGTTACAAAGGAGGGCTCGGTCGGACCCGGGCGCGGAATCCAGACGCGCGAATCCAGTCGCACGGGTTCCAAACCCAGGATTGGACCTAGTGAGCGACCGAGCAACCCACCGGGGGAGCGACTACGGAGGAGTCAGTGGGGAGGCGGTGCAGCGAGTTGACTGTGGTTGCCTAATTGCACGCGAGTGAGGGAGTGAGCGGTTGGACCGGCGGCGGCGGCGGCGATAGACGGCGCCGCCATTTCCCCGCTCTGACCACGCCCCCACATACAGCGTCACAACCCAGTGACCTGGGACTCCAAGGCGCCGCTTCTCCCACTTAAAGGGCCAGAACAGACCAAAAATGTCACAGGGAGAACTCAAAGCCCCAGAGATAAATCTAAGTGACGAAGAAATAGCAAAACTCTCAGACGCACAGTTTAAAACACTGGTCATCAGCTTCCTCACAGATCTGGTTGATTATAGCCACAAATTAGAGAAACATATGAAGGCTAAATTAAGGGAAATGAATGGAATTCCACAGGAAACCCATAGAGATGAAAAGGAAACTGGGACTCAAATCAATGGAGTGGACCAGAAGAAACCAAATAATGGCCAAAGAGAAAAGAGTCAAGGAGCAAGAATTCAAAGAAATGAGGAGAGTCTTAGGAACCTCCAGGACATCTTTAAACGCTCCAATATCTGAATTATAGGGGTACCAGAAGGGGGGAAAGACACAACCACCAGTGGAAAAACTATTTGAACAAATAATAAAAGAAAATTTCCCCAATCTGGCAAAGGAAATAGACTTCCAAGAAATCCAAGAAGCCCAGAGAGTACCAAAAAAGTTGGACTCAAGAAGAAACACACCAAGGCATATCATAATTACATTAGCCAAAATTAAAATGAAGGAAAGAATCCTGGAAGCAGCAAGAGGTAAGGGGACAATCACCTACAAAGGAGTCCCCATCAGGCTGTCAGCAGATTTCTCAAAAGAGACCTTACAGGCAAGAAGGGGCTGGAAAGAAATATTCCAAGTCATGAAATCCAAAGACCTACAACCAAGATTGCTCTACCCAGCAAAACTTTCATTTAGAACGGAAGGACAGATAAGGTGCTTCTCAGATAAGACCAAATTCAAGGAGTTCATCATCACCAAGCCCTTATTATATGAAATGTTAAAGGGACTTATCTAAGAAAAAGAAGTTAAAGAAACATGAACAGTGAAAGGACAACAAACTCACAGTTATTAACAACCACACCTAAAACGAAAGCAAACTAAAAGGACAGCTAGATCAGGAGTGGAAACATAGAAATGAAGATCTCAAGGAGGGTTAGCAACAGGGGAGTGGGAGGAGGAGATGGGGGGAGAAGGTACAGAAAACAAGTAGCATAGACAGTAGATAGAAAATAGATGGGGGGGGCAAGAATAGTATGGGAAATATAGAACCTAAAGGACTTGAGACACATGGACATAAACTAAAGGGGGGTAATGGTGGGGATGGGGGGGCAGGGTGGAGGGGAATGAAGGGGGGAATAGAACAACTGTAACAGCATAATCAATTCAAAAAAATTTAAAAAAAAAGAGCTGAATGAAGTCATAGTATGTTAAAGTAGGAAGGGAGTGTCGATATCCTTCATTCTGTCCTCTTCAATTTGTACACAGGAACTCTGAGGCTCAAAGAGTTAGAGGGATCTGTCAGGGTCACATGGTCGAGTAGTGATTATAATGACATTCTTGATCTTATCTAATAACCGTGCCCTACTTCTTCTCAACAAAATACCAGTTTTGGGATTTTTCCTTTCTCACCATGACTCAGGGATAATCAAAGTGACACAATTTTCAGCTTCAGGGTAGATCCTGGTTAGTCTAAACTAATCAATTCATTCTCTTGGCAACTGCTATTGATCCAGTGGTGAGGACGCAACGTGTGATGGCCCCAACAGACCGGGGAGAGGGCTTATATCTCATGCATGCAGAAGACTCAATCTCCTGCATGTGGCCTCCATTACCATTGGGAGCCATTTTTCCCACCATCATGTGCCTATTTAGCGAAGGTGTCCAAGCACAATTAGAACACAGGTTGACCTCTATTAAGTGAAGGGCACTTTTCAACGTATCACAAAATTGACTCACAATTCCCTGCAGGCTAGACTATTCCACTGGGCATCTGGGCAAAGGGAACATTTCCAACTTTTTCAAGTTGCTGGGTAGAACTGGTGAGTAGCCATCGAATGGCACTAAGAGAATTTCTCTGGCTCAGTCCTTGGTGATTGAACCTTCTACTGGTCCCCCAGTGTGGTGAATGGCATTGCCTGTATTTGCATATGGCTAATGAGAGTTAAGAGGAAGAACGTCCCTTACCTAGCCAAGATACTTTGGTTGTAAATGACAGATGATACAATTTAAGCTGCCTTAATAAATAAAATGTCCTTGGAGGTGTGACTAAATCTACAGGCTCAAATGATGTCACTAGGACCCTGCCTCTATCATCTGTCCCATCATCTACATTGGCTTTATTTATTCCTACATTCCACACAAAGGCAAGATGGGAGGAACAATGCCAGACACCCCTTCTCCCCTGCTCAGCACCAATAGAAACGAGGTGAGCTTCTCTCCTTCCGAGGTGATGCGAATGTCCTAAACTTTGGGGTGCCCAACATGGGGTATGAACAATTTGTTTCCTGTAGAGAATTACCCTGCCTGGTTTCAGGAGCTGTAACACGCCCCCATGGCTAAGGCTGAGTGATCGACCTTCAGACCATAGCCACCAAGGAGACAAAGCTTATCTCTATGGCAGGGGACCTTATCTCCATGGCACCACCTCTGCTCCTTTCACTTCACCCTGCCTGGCCCCCAGTGCTTGATTGTTTAGCCAGTGACAGGTAAAATTCCTCAAGGGAGGGATGACCTAAGACAGGCATGATCATAGGGGGCCCCAGGGAAGGACTTGGGGGCTACAGAAATAGGGAGTGATGAACCCTCACACTTCAGCTTTGATGTAGCCTGAGTCTTCATTCTGTCTGCAAGATGTTTCCTAATCTCTTGGCTGTCTTACTTCCCCTGCCTGACTTAAGCCTGAAACAATGCTGGAGGTGGGTGTGGCCCTGTGCTGGAAAGGGCGGGTTCCCTAGGGTGGTCAGGGTTAAGAAAGAATATGTAAAGTCCTATGAAACCTGCTTTGTTTAGAATGCTTTCAATTAAATGATAAGGGCCCAAGCAGGTAGTGAGTTTGTTCTCCAAAGTTTTATGGCCATTTAACTATCTGACCCTGACTCAGAATAGGCCCTCAGAGCTTTTTGTACATTATCTATTGTTTGATCCTTAGTGCCTGATAATAACTGAGGTTTACTAGTATTCCTGTGCAAAATGAACCTAATAAAAGCACCTTGAGAAAAAGGCTCTTGGCTCTTCTCCTTTGAAAGATCGGGTACCTTTACTCCACAAGCAGATTGTGTCTTGGTAGACTTATTCTCATCCATGGTGGCAGCAGTGGCAGTGGTGGGGGCAGGGGGTGGTGCCCTGCAGGTGGAGCCCACCCCTCATTTCCAAGCAGAAGCTCCAGGTTTTGAGCTGCCTCATGATTTTGTGGGTCACTGCACTGGGGGTGGGGTTTATGTCAGATTGCATCTCAGCCTTTCTTACCGGTGTTGATGATGTTTCCCTCATTTATGATGTGAAGGGGTCTACTTCAGTGTGGCTTCTCTGCTCATTTGCCCAATGGCAAGGGTTCCTTCCACCAGTCCTTGCTTTTTTTTTTTTTTTAAGAAGATATTATTCTATATATAGCTGTAAATTCCTTGCCTCTGTGGAAAAGGAGGAGGAGGAGGTGAGTTCAGGCTCTTTCTACATCGCCATCTTGAACAGGAAACAACTGTGTAAATATCTTCTTGCATCTCATTGGCTCTGGTTGGATCATGTGCCCATTCCTGATCCAATCACTATGGCAGTGCTCTGAATGGCCAGGCCTGAGTTGCATGTCTCTTCCTGAACTGGAGAATGTAGACTGAGAATGGCAGCAGATCCCCAGGGGAAAATTACTTTTCTGTTACCCAGGAGACAGGGGAATAGGTGCTGGCTGTCCAACTCAATATCTACAAGCTTTTCTAAATGTGTAGATATTTTTGGCTTATATTGTGCAAGAGCATAGAATTTGAAGTCAGAAAACTGAAATTTCAGTTCTAGCTCTCTGAAATTCAGCTCCACAATTGCTAAATGGCAAAGGATGCCTTTTCCCAATTTGATCCAGGTTTTTTTCTGAGGCTTGAATATGATCCTGCATAGGAAAGCCTTTTAAAATGTGTTGAGGACTACCAGCGGTGTCCATCCTGTGGCCCATGGGCTGCCCGCAGCCTAGGATGGCTATGAATGTGGCTCAACACATTCAAGATGCCAAAAGGGTGGACACCCCTGGAATGAGGGAGTGTTGTTTTTGTTGTTATTACTGTTATCTTTTCTGAATTTCTTCCACTCATGCTCTAATTAGGATGCAATTTTTTTTTCATGCAAGACATGAAGAGTAAATACATCATTAGCAACTAGAAAGAATTTAGTCAGGGTTGCTATAAGCATCTATAGTGTCTTTGTGAGATTCAGAAATAAACTCCTCCCTCTACCTCTGGGTGGTGCGGTTCACAGGGGTCATGGCTTTGCCAGTGGATAGCATCTTTGTGCAAAGAAAAGGCCACACTTTCCTCTAGCTAGACATACCTGCATGCTAGGTTATGTGGCTTGGTGAGTGGAATGAATGCTGGATGTCTACTCTCACTGACCTCTCAGCAGAAGGATGGGAGGACAGGTGGGGAGATGTTCTGCACTGTGCACGACTTGCACAGCTGTACTCTGTACCGTGCCATTGGTAATGAACCATTGAGCAGGGTGAACTCTGGAAGCCTAGCTCCTTGTTTTCCTGGGAGAGTCCATCTAACCCTCTCAGACCATTTACCACTTCCCCCCGCTTCCTGAGCATTTTCACTTCATTCTGAATACAACAGTCATGCTCTCTCTTTTAGTTAACCACCCACTAGCATCCAGATTCGGCTGGCTTTTCAGATGCTCACTGCAGACCATTCCAACAGCAAGGAAGAGAATCCTCCCTTTTTAACTGTCTCAAGGAATGATG